AAAGCTGAACAACTTTTTAAAAAAATTTTTTAGGAGAAAATACATACAAATTTTTTATAGAAAGGGAGAAATCACAGGAGTGTGCTTATCCACTATCTCGACATAATCCAGAAATTTGCATATCCTTTTTCTACAGGGGATTGGGAAATAAAGAATTTCAAGGAGCTAATCAATGGCATTTTAAGGCCTGGAGAACACAATGGCCTGGGACAAAGTCTGTGTGGCTCACAGAACAGGTGAGGGTTGGTAAATGATTCTCCTTGGGACCAGAATAGAAGACAATGCAAGTGACAAAGCCTCTCCAGGTGGGCTGGCAGGCTTCAGCCTTTCTTCCTATGACAAGTTTAGTGACTGGGAGTTCAAAAGAGCCATCAGAGATAAAAGTTTGGTGGGCTTGGACTGTGGGCAGAGAAGGGAATTTAGCAGAATTTCTCTTCCTGACTGAGGTTTCCTTTATTTACTATAAATATACATAACACCATTAGCTCTGAGTTATGTATAGCCTCTTAACAACTCACAGATGGAGTTGCACTGCAAATTGATCCTTGGCTTTAATATATATATATATGTTTTTGGAGACAGGGTCTCACTATGCAGTTCATGCTGGCCTTGAACTCAAGACGATTCTGCCTCAGTCTTCTGAGTGCTGGGATTATAGGCATGTGCAGCCATGCCTGATTTTAGCCTGAATATTGCCCTGTTTCTCAATTATAAATGTGAAAAATCATCTCCTACCTTCTTGCTTATTACCAAAATAATTCCCAATGTGGTCTCATCTCTTCCACAAAAGGACCAGAAGCGACACCAGTTGTACCATCCCTGCTTCCCACACCAGCCCACATACAGACACAGGATTGGGTGTGGAAGCTGCAATGGTCCCATGAGCGCCCCCGCCCAGTTGGTCCTGTCCCAGGAGGACCTTTCCTCAGGTTCCAGAATGACCACTGCATCAACTCTCCCCAGAGTGTCCCTCCTTCTGCTCTGGAAGTTCCCCAACATTCTTGACTATTGGGTTGAGCCCCCCTACTGAGCCTCCTAATTCTCCCATCACAGGGGCTCTCTCCCTTTGTGCAGCTCTCACAAAGACTTGCCAGGGATTCGATCCTGTTTGCCAATGTACCTAGTGGAATTTTTGTTGTTGTTGTTGTTCCAGGAATCGAACTCAGGGCCTTACTCTTGCCAGGTAGGCACTGTACTGCTGAGCTACAACCCTGCTCCCCCCACCCTTTTTGAGACAGGGTCTTGTTATGTAGTTCAGGCCAGCCTCGGACTCACTATGTAGCCCAGGCTGGCCTCGAACTCGCAGTGATCCTTCTGCCTCAGTTCTGGAGTGCTGGGATGACAGGCGTGTGCCACCATGCCTGGCCCTGGTGGAATCTTGATTAGTATAACGCATAACCACTGCCAGGCTCCCAGCTGCTGTGTTAGTTTGTATTGTTTGCTTGCCCTCTCTAGGGTGGAGTAGACCTCCCTGCCCCACGGGTATCAGGCTTAAAGTCCGGCTGATGCTGCTCTCCTTTTTAGTCTAATGTCTTCTTCCTGCCAAACTCCAGGAAGGCCACATGATTTGCTTTGCCCAACAAAGGGCAGGTGCCAGGGCTGCCTGTCATTTCTGGGAAAAAACTATTGAAGCCAGATGGTGGCTGTGCTGTCCTTTTCCAGGCTGTGAGACTGACAGTGTCCCAGGCAGGGGCTGCTCTGTCAGCCTGGGTCCCAGAGTGAATGAGTCTTGGAGAAAAATCCAGACATTGGAATGGTGACAAGTGTGAGCCAAAAATAAACCTCTGTGTGTGAGTCGCTGAGCCTTTAGGGCTGTTTGTTACTGCACTGTAACCTGACAGATACACCGACCCTCACTGGCTTCCAGGTGTTTTAAAGTCAGATATCACCTTTTCATCTACCATCAAGAATATCGACATCCCCTGGCCCCCTGCTGACTTCAGAGACAACTCTCATGGGTCCCCCGGGCCTCTGCCACCTGATGCTACCAGCAGCAACTGCAACCACAATTCAGATGATTGCATGGTGGTCTAACATCCCTGGCTCTTCTTCCCTCTGTCACGACCTGACCTATTCCTGGACTCTGTTTCGGACACTTTGTCCTTAATCTTTGACACTTGGGGGATGGCCTCAGCTTGCGCTTTCCAGGATTCCTGGCTTCCCCTAGACCCACTATGACAATGGTGGGATTTGGGAGAGAGGCCAGTGCCCCTGACTTCCTGGGAATCCCACTTTGGTGTCACATGGCTTATGGCCTGAGGGCCCAGGAAGAGGCCCAGTGGTGGGTGTCAGGAAGGTTGGTCTGACGCCCCCAGCCTCAGCATCCTTGTCTTGCCATCACTGGCCCTTCCTTCTACCCAGCAGCTGTTTGACTCTGAGTGGGAGCATGTCAGAGTCTGGTGTATGTCTGGGGTGCAGGGAGCCTGCAGCAAAGCAGTATTGGATTCTACAGCTCTGGTTCAGCACTGCATGCCTTTCCCTCCTCTCCAGCTTGCCGGGTGGGGGTGGGCCATTCCCCACCAGCAGTAGGGGGACAGTGACAGTCTGAGCTTGTCCCTGTCCTCCCTAGTTGTGAAGCAAAGGAGCTGCTGCCTAGCTCAGGATGCAAATGCCATGAGATGGCCGGACTCCGCTAGTGGGTGAAAAGTACGTGTCATAGGAAAGATACCATGCATTTCAGAGTTCACTATCTGATCACACCTGGCAGAGAGGACATAGGCTGAGAAAAGGGAGTGAGGTTGAGGGGGGTTGTGGGTATAGGAACAGCTCAGGGAAAGCTGGAAGGTGGACAAAGCCTGCAGCAGGAGGCCTGTAGACAGATGAGATGAAACAAGAAGAGATCAGATTTGTCTCCCTAGCCTGGTCTGCTTACAACAGAGATTCATTTATGTCTGTGGCTCCAGTACCATGATGAACATTATATGGTATTTAATAATTAAAAAAATGATTGGGTGGCACTGCGCCTGCCTTGAAAACACAAGATCCTGAGTTCGAGCCCCTGTACTGAAAAAAAAAAAAAGAAAAAAAAAGATTGGAGCCAGGCATGGTGGCATGTGCCCGTAATCACAGCTCACTGGTGGCTGAAGCAGGAGGATTGCAAGTACAAAAGACCAGTCTGGGCAACTTATTGACTTAGCAAAAACCTTGTCGTAAAATAAAAAATAAAGAGGGGCTGGAGGTGTAGTTCAGTATGGAGGCCCTGGGTTCAATTCCTAGTTCTAAACAAACACACACACACACACACACACACACACACACACACAAGTGCGAGCACTGCACAAAGATTGAAAACTCTCCAAGTCTGCAGTTTTGATTCTAGTTTCTTGGCTGGCTTGGTGCTGGACTCTAAGTGGTATCCATGGAGATGACTTTGGGAAACAACAAAACTTTTTGCAAATGAATAGATCTTCCTTGACTTGTGATGGGGTTACATCCAGCTGAATCCTTCCGAAATTGAAAATATCCTAGATGGAAAATGCTTTTACTACACTGCAGCTCAACCTACCTCAAACAGGCTTAGTTCACTGACATCAGTTTAAAGTAGGGTAAAATTATCCTACACTAAGCCTATTTCATATATAAGTGTTGAATATTTTGTGTGATTTACTGAACATTGCACTGGGACCATCTGTATTTATGTGTGAGTGAGTGTAATTAGTAATAACTATTGCAAGAGCCCAGCATGGAGCTCAACTCAACTTCCATTTGTATGTTTCATTTGCAGTACTGAGTGAGGATTGAACCCAGCAGCCATGCTAGGCAAATGCTCTCTCACTGAGATGCCCAACTCCCCACAATCTTTCTGGATTGCAACAAACCCTTTTGGTGGTTTCCAATTTCCACTGGAACTGCAATCGGTTGGATGGGGCAGCATTCTTGTGCCTGCTTTCTTGATTTCTTCCTCCTCCTTGTCCTTCTCCATTGCCTCGTTTTTCTGTGGCACTGTGAATTCAGGTGTGCTCTTATCACTGTGCTACATCCACAGTCATTTTATTTTATTTTAATTCATTTATTTTTTTTTCAGGTAGAAATCACCTTCCTTTTAATTGAGTCATTAACCTCTCTTGGCTGTTACTCTGGTAATAATCAGGTCCCCACCTCTAGGAACATTACATCTGACCAGCCCGAGAGCCAGTGTGCATGAATACAAACCCCAATTCAGGGCTCTTGGAATAGTAAAGGATAGCAAAAACTGGCTTTCCTTTCACATGGAAACGGACAGGAATTGGAGGGTCTAGATCTCCACTTTCCAGACTAGAAAGCTGAGCTCAAAGTGAATGGAAGCCAATTGAATGAGGAATGAAGTCCAGGACCCGACGTGCAAGGGCATGGTGGTCTTGACTACCTGGCCTCTTCTATAGGCGTTTTAAAGGAAGATGTTGTTGCTTCTATTTCACTTCTCAGAGAGGTATAAAAGCTTTTGAAAGGGATATTATGGATCAGAACAAATCAACTCACTCACAAGAAACATTCTTGGATAATGATTTTCTGTAGCTGAGAACATTCAGCACATTATTTCTTTTTTTGGTACTGGGGATTGAACTCAGGTCCTTGTGCTTGCGAGGCAGGCAGCGGAACCACTGAGCTAAATCCCCAGCCCTCAGCACATTACTTCTGAGTGGCAAAATTCAGGGCAATCTGAGAGAGAGAAATCAAAGGTGGTGGCTACACTGGCTGACAGGTTTATGCAGGACACACACACACACACACACACACACACACGGCCCCTGTTTTCCTTTTCAGTGTATCTGTCAAGGGACTAGGTGCACAGAAATAGGGAAAGACATTTTCTTAGAGAGAGCAACTAAAAGGCATTTTGTAAAAGGTCCACATGGCCCTGGAGTGGGACGACGGGAGCCTGCATGGTGGCCTGCATTAGCTGGACGCTGCCTCTTCTTTGGTGGCGGTGGCCTCTGGGGGAGCCATTCTCTCTGTGTGCTCTGCCGGCTTCTCCTCCTCTTCCTCCTCCTCTTCC